TCAGCTACGTCACCTTTGTTCTTCCATATTGGTACCGTCACGCTTCTGCACCAGTCGTTCGGAATTTTCTTGGCTTCTATCACCCGATTGAGCAGTCGTGTTAGCCATGTAACTCCAGCTTGACCACATGCTCTCCAGAATTCGTTGGGGACGTCATCGGGGCCTGTCGCCTTGCCGTTCTTCGTCTTCATTATTGCGGCGCGAACTTCGCTTTCGGTGATAGTTGGAACTGGTCCATGCACAGGCTCAGCTGTAGACGTCACTGTGTACTCGTGGCTTGTAGACGCTGTCTCGGCGAAGTGTGCTCTCCATCTTTCTCTTATCTCTTGTGGCTTCCTGAGCATTTTCCCGTGTGCGTCCTTGATACTGTAGAAGTGCTCTACATCTCTTGTGGCGATTGATCTTGTTTTCGCGAGTCGGTAGATGTCTCGTTCGCCTTCTCGAGTGTGCAGCTTCTTGTAGAGTACCTCCATATACGCTTCTTTTGCCTCTTTGACACTCTTCTTGGCTGCACGCTTCGCGTCTGAGTATCTCTGCCGTGCCTCTTCTGATTTCAGCTTCTGCCACATTCTGTACGCTGTCTTCTTCTTCTTGATCATGGATTGCACTTCTTCGTTCCACCACCAGGTTTCTTTGTCAATTTTTGCCCTTCCTAGCTTCGTACGTCCTAGTAGACTGCTTGCTATCTGATGGACATTCTTCTTCAACTTCTTCCAGGAGTCTTCTGATTCTTCTTCCAACTCTGGTAGGGCAGATTCCATGGCTGCTCTGATGTGGTCCTTGTCTTTGAGCTTCCACCATTTGATCCGTGCTACTTGCCCTGTTGTTGTTCTTCTTTGCTTGTCGGCTGGAATATTCAGATCCAGAATTAGTGGTCGATGTTGTGGTATGCAGTCTTCTCCGGGTATGACCTTGGTGTTCTTTACATACTTAAGCTCACTTTGTCGTACTGTCCAGAAGTCTATCTGTGTCTTCCGATTCCCGCTGGCGTACGTGATGAGATGACTATCCTTCTTTACGAAGTATGTGTTTGCCAGTGCCAATTCATGCGCCGTGGCGAACTCCAGAATGTTCTCCTTCGCTGTTACGTGTTCCGTATCCGTGATTACCATGACACTTGCTGGTACCACTTCGTTGTACACCTACATGCCCGTTGAAGTCTGCTCCTATTAGTAGCATCTCGTCGCGTGGTATCGAGTCGATACAGTCATCGAGCTGCTTCCAGAATTCATCCTTCTCTATCTCCGTGCACTTAACTTGTGGCGCATATGCGGTTACGACTCGTAGAATTCTTTTCCCCATATCCATTCTGATGCACATTAGTCGATCACTTATTCGATCCACGTCCGTGATTCTACTTCTTAACGCTTCTGAGACCACTATACCGACGCCGTTCCTGTTGTTGCACGTTCCTTTGTACAGAAGCTTGTGCCCGTCACCTATGTCTCGTGACTTCTCTCCTTTCCATTTTGTCTCCTGAATACAGGCGATGTCAACCCTACGTCGTCTGAGAAGATCAGCCAACTCGCGATGCCGTGAAGTGAGTGATCCTACATTGGTGGCTAGAAGTAACGCTGAGAACTTGGCTACTCGCCTATGGTGAGCTAGCTTCTTCAACCGTCCCCGCTCACCCTGCACGGTACGGGAAAAATATTGACCTCAAAAAAGCCAAAAATTTGAATTTGTCATCTTTTGATTAAACTAAAGGTAATGTCCAGACAATGCATAAGGGAGTATGCGCAGATTACGGATAGGGATGATGAGATGACGCAGCGGTGCGATACTGACCTACAAAAGACTTAGGCAAGGTCACACGATAATAAGTTAATGACTTAAGTCCTTTTTTTAAATAACCGCTTATCAATAGAGCCGCCAAAAAGAAAAAACTCTGCCACCTCTTGCATTCTAGGTCTTTTTATGAGACTTACAATTGCTTAGGTGAAGGCAAATATTGTACCTTAGGTGTAGGAGGCAGCCGACATGAACGATGGCTTGTGCCAGCCATATGCGTTGCTGCGTAGGTCGAATCTTTCTCATAATTTATATCTACGTTATGATTATACTTAAAAATTTGGAAAAAAATTAGGAGCTTAGTTTTGCCCCAATCTTTGCTTTTGGCACCATTTTCGATGCAGCGGGGAACATAGCTCCAAAGAGAATGACTTCATGAGCGTAAATTTCAATCGTAGGAATACCGTACCCTTATTAATGTCGTTCATCTTGCCATACATCACTCAGGTGTTTGTCCTTGATTTGCATACTCAGATGAGAGTGAGATATGAAAGTACAATCAAAAGATTTGCTAAATCATTACTTGTTAGGTTAAAAAAAAGTAGATCTAAGATTGCGCCTGATTAATGCTACAACCACAGACCACATATCAGATATAATCCAGGCTCTCTTCGAGGACGGTCTTTTCCGCTTGTATGATCCAGACACGCTACTTACTCGAATTGGAGATGGCATTCATATGACCCCCGTAGGACTCGAACTGCTGCGACCGTTGTATACTAAAATTTTAGAAAACCTACTCCTGAGACTCACTCGTTGATGTAAATAATTTGCGATACTAAAATTGCCAACTTCGATACTCCGAATATTGCAAAACTTCATGTTTCTTCAGGGCTTTCCAAACTCATACTTCAAGCTGTATGATTTACGATTTCAGGTATTGTAGAATAGATAAGATTGCGTGAGAATGATGAAATTTTTGTGCCTTGCAAAAATGACAGATTAGAAAATGCATATCCTTGTATGTTACTTTGTGTAATAAGTGCGTACATTTTTTGATCCTATTTTTTTCCAGGAATTAATGTAATGTCTGATTGAGATAGTGTTTGATAGTGTACATATGCTTTTCAAAGCATGTCTGCTTTATAAAATCCCTTACTTCGCTTCTCCGACTTTGAACAATCCAGAAAATTTCAACTCTACCACCGGACGCTGAAAGGTAAAAATCATTTTCTAATATTTTGTGGCGAATCCAAAAAGGGACAGAATGTTTTGAAAGCAAGCTTATGGCTTCTACAGTGCTGGTTATAGCTATAAAGCCACCCTAAAAATTTTGAAAAAATTGCTTTGCTGAAAATTTTGCTAAAAATGGGTTCGAAACAGCGAAGAAAAGGGTACCAGAGCCAAATGCCCCGCGCCCCGCGTTTGGGGTAGCGAGGTAGCGCGCAGCGCGCGGAGACGCAGACGAGCAGCGGAGACAGACCAGAGCCGACGGGGCATTTGGCTCTGGTCGTAGATCTTCGCGGGGTCTCAACGAAACCCCGCAACATTATATATCATTCTGATCGCCATGACACGACGAGGAGAAATGACAACGTCCCAAGCTTCAAAAATCACTTATTAACGAGATGGAGCAGCGTATTTGTGCGCGATTCTCTGTGCAAGAATCAAGTGCAGTTTCTCGTTTTTATCTAACTCAAATAGCTTTCCTAAACGTCTGAAAGTCTATTTTTGTCAAATGAGAGGTTAACTGAGAAATTTTGTCCTAAATTCTGATTCCACAGAAACCTTCGTTTTAACGTAAAACAAGCTATGAAAACGCAAATTTTCGGTTTCGCTGAAATAAGCTAGAGATATAATTCCCTACATTTGCTTCATTAACATACGTTCCGATGTAGTCAGGATAATAACATCCATGGCGAAGCCCCGGATGACTTCTGTTTTTTTCCAGGTGAAGGTTGTGTCCCCTTATAGCCCTCAAAGTGAAGGTTACCAATGTACATGGCTCTATGTATCGAGGATATGCTCCAGGTGGTAGATCTGAACTTAAACGACGATATGACTTTTCCAAACAAAAAAATTGCTTTTCACTCAAGCTTCACTCCCAGTCTTTTGAAGCATACCTGAAAAATGAATAATGGCAAAAAAATGTGAGAATACCTGCAATTTCTCACTCTACGCCAAATGTTCACGCGCGAGTGCTGCCGATTCTGCAGGCGCACTGTGTTTACCGGTAAATCTACTCGACTGTGATTGAGAAATAATATACCGAATTGCAAACTAGTCTTGATGCTTCTAAACTGCGCTGCAGTTATCCTACTTTTCGTGTTTCAAAGTGCAGTCATTTTCATTGCCCGTGAACTAATTTCCAATGACGTTCCAGTGCGCAACGCCGCATAAACAGACGTACTGTCTATCTCAGCCAGCGGCAATTTTACCTTTCGTTCATTGCTAATTTCCTGTCATTTGTGTTTTTCTGTAAAACAGACATCTCCACATTCCCTTTCATTTTTCAGAAATTTGGAAATCAAAGGAAACTTTGGTCAAAATACTAGCAGTATCATAAGAACCAAAAGGAAGCACAGCTTTAATAGCACTAACCTCGTTGGAAACGAAGAGAAATGCTAATATCTAACATAATTTGTCAATAAGAAAGAACAATTACAGTACAATGAGATTTCAATTTGTTGGGTTGGTGCTTTAAACAAGGTGTACCTTATACTCCGGAAAATAGGAGTAGGTCGAGACTTGAAAATTTTGGAAAATTCTGAAAAACTACATTTACCACTGATATTACAAAATATCACAAAAATCAAGATTCTTCGAGTTATCATCAATATCAATTCAGCAAAATATCCGTAAGTTTCAAGATTTATCCCGCAAAGAAAGCTTTATCTCTGGTGGCTATACTAATTCCTTAGAATGATTAGATGACTGTATGCCTTTCTTGAGCGCTGCCTGCGTAAACTACTGGCACTAACGATATGCAATTAAGATAGGATAAGTGGTCCGCTGAGGCGGTGCCTAGTTGCTGTAGTCGTTCTTATATCCCTCAGGTCTTACATTGAAAATCGAGGCTATCGAAAAACTTTAGCATAAAAAAATAATTACGAAAATTTCCTGGAAACGAGCGATAAAAAACTGCGGTTACAATCGTGCGGACACTATCGAAAGTCCTGCTGGCTCATCAGTTTTCAAGTAAACAACAAATTTGCATTGGAAATAATGAGCATGCGGGTCTAAGTTTAGCAGAGCCTTCCTTTGATTTGCTAAATATTTTCATTCCGAGTATAGTGATATTCACCGACCTCCTGATAAAAAATTGTGAGGCAAGCTAATAAATCAATTCTCCAGCCCTTCTGTGAGCCGTCGTCCACTTCCTGGCACTGCCTCACAAAGCTGCCTTCGATCTGAATTGGAATGTAAGCAACAATAAAAGTTTAGGTTGTGCTGTACCCATTTCTGATCTTTCTCGTATTCCACATCTCCGTCTTTACATAGAGAAGAAGCTGTAGTAATTACTGCGAAGATTATAATGAGGCCTCGCATTTTGAGGAATGGGCCGTGTTAAGAGTTTCTATAATGAATTCAAAAAATTCCGATTATGAAAAATCTTATGTTTGAAGCAAATATAATATTTCTGCAAAACGCCTGGGTTATGATTTTGAGTTGACTGTGAGCTAAAAGGTGCTTGGACCAAATTTAAGCGAGCAGGATACTTTGTAACCAGTAATTTATCACTAGCAGGGAAGCATTGCCTAAGTTCTGCACGAGAGACAGCGCCACCCAAAGCGCAAGGAGTGATAACTCTAAGCTTCGTGCGCGTTCCAGTGTATCGTGGGATTCACAGTCAACTCTAATGCGTGCGGAGAACCTGCATTATACTATAAAGCCCTCGTCGCCGAAACTCGCCGCGATAGTTATTAAATAGAAGCAAATATGGAACCATTATCTGCTTGCTCAAAGAGAAAAAGTACCTCTGACCACTATTTCAATTGAAACAAAAGGTGGATATTACATAAAGATCGGTTCATAATTATACGGACATCCATATATTGTCGTTTGCACTTCTGAAAGAATTACAAGAAATCATTGGTGCCAGCGTAGCCGAAAACAGTATACACAGCATAAAAATGAAATTCGGTGTCAATCTAAAGAAGCATTGTGCGCCCAACGCTTTCTTGGCAGGTTCATAACTATACGAGCACCTCAATTACAGCTATTTTTTCTCTTAACGATGCAACCTAGGGGGTTTGAACTTTTATGTAAATCTAACATCTCAAAGTCTGAGATGAATACTACGCGCCGAACGTAATAATGTTTGAAAAGGAGATTTTTACTTCACTTTTATAGATCAAAATGGCCTCAAAGCATGTCGGATCTAAAAACGCCTGCTTTGTCGAAATTTCAAGCCTTTATTCAGCTACGCGGCTAAAAAATAAGCAACCAGTAAATGTGCTACTCAGCGCTTAAAAAATATTGATATAGTCGTCCCAGTTGCCAACTCATCCCAAGCTCACTATAGGGTTGGCACACTTTTCAGCCTTAAAATTCGACTTCTGCCGTCCGCAAAGCTTTGTAATGATGTAATGCATCATCTGTATGATTACACATAATTGATAATGTTTCTGAACTCCCTGCAATGCCATTCTCAAAGTGCTAGAGCTAAAAAACAAGATAAGGCATGCTTGCGCTGATTTGTATTTGTTTTCATTGAATGACGAATGCTTGATGGAAACAAGGTCTCTACAGTTGAATTTTTCCAACAAAACATGAAATTTTGTACGCCGTATACGTATAAAATATATGCCTTACAAAATCAAATGTGCCATGTGCTTACAACATCACAGAGCTTGCGGACGGCAGAAGTGGAGTTTTGAGGCTTAAAAGTGTGGCAAGAAAGCGTTGGGCGCGCAATGCTTCTTTAAGATTGTCACGAATCTCATTTTTATGCTGTGTATCCTGGTATCAATGATTTCTTGCATTTCTTTCAGGAAGTGCCGGAAATGACAATATATGGGGTGTTCGTATCAGGATGAACCGATCTTTAAGGACAATGTTGAAACTTATTTTTGTTGAATGATGATAAATTATCGAAACGTGCAAGCGAAGGAGACATAGATAAATCATTAGTTTTACAGAAGGGAATGGATAGACATTTGAATTGTTGCCTATTGAGTTTGAGGAATACTAAATACATTTTATAGCAAATCGAGCTGACCGAAGATACCATTAGTTTGCTGCAGCCTGTTAGATCTATTAGGTCGGTGCAAAAGTTTCGTCAGTTTTTTCATTCCATCGGCAAACACGTTAGAATGAAGATAAGCTAACATTTCAAAATGTATCCGATGCAGAATTTCTTCCTCTTTCCAGCTGTCAAAATATCATTGTGTTTCGTTGCGAGAGTGACGAGATACTTGCTGTAAATTACAACCACTTGTTTTTACCATCTCTAACTTTCGCTAATTTTCAGAATTTTTGTATGAGACTTTGCGGGAAGGCACAATAACCAGCAGATAGGTCAACAGAAGCGATTCTTTTCTTTTTTCAGCTGCTTTTTCAAACTTTTGTTAAGTAATTTTCTAAAAGTCTTGTGTTATGGAGAAAACGCATAACCTGTTATTGCACCAAACACTGCAAAACCTGCAGAATACTGAGGGTTCAACACTCGATTATTACTATCGCTACCATTACACAGTACAAAAGCGATTTTCGCTTCAAATCATGAAGATTTTGAAACGTAGGTTACGTCAGTGCGCACTCCTGAAATTGAGAAATACTGCGATTTTCCCCCACAAATTTCGCCTTTCCCGGCAAAAAAGACAAGTATCAAAAGGAGGAGAAAAAGTTACATCATATGGTAACTGAAGCGTTTAACATTTTATGTTTTACAAACTTGAAATAGGCTGAATGTAAAATTAGGTTACTTCAAAAAATAAATCGTAGAAATTCTGAAAGGCAAGCCATAGAGCTACAAAAAATTGCTTCTGTTGGCAAAAGGTTTGCCCTATCTGTTGGTTATTTGGGCTCCTCCGAAATTCTCATATAAAAATTTTGAAAATTAGCGAAAGTTGGACATGGTAAAAACAGGTGGTTGTAATTTCCAGCAAGTCTCGTCACTCTCGCAACGAAACACAATGATAGTTTGGCAGCTGGAAAGAGGAAGAAATTCTGCATCGGATACATTTTGAAGTGTTAGCTTATCTTCATTCTGTCTGCCGATGGATCGAAAAAACTGACAAAACTTTTGCACCGGCCTAATATATTGTTGATTACGTCATGACATTTGCATATATTGAGTGGGCGCAAAAGTTTGTCTTTTTTTGAAGTTGTAAAGCTATGATTTTTGATAATTCGTATTACATCTTCTTATATGTTATAAAGGGTGTCCCAAAAATATGCCTACTGTTTGGTTGTTAAAAACTCTCTTGTCTCAAAATCTTTCGAGAAGGTTTACAGTGTGCGACAGAATTATTTGCGCGTGACTGGTTGCGCGCAACACGCCGATATTTATTCAGAGAATCTTCTGCTTCTTCATAAAAAAATGTTCCTGTGATGCAAGGAACACACCACATGATAAAGCAAGTTCTCGGCTGCAACATAAAGGTTGCTGCATGACGAAGGCGCAGAAGCGGCATTAGTTGAGCGGGCGCGAATGCGACGCGCGCGTATCTTCACCGTTGTAAATCCTGCGCCTCTTGTGCTCTGCTGCTAATAAAGCCGCGTTCGCGCCCGAAGGTGTTGCGCTTTCGTCATGCAGCAGCCTATACTGTAAGCGCAAATCAGGATGATCTGACAAGAAAATTATCGGCGTTTGAAAAAAGTCATGTGTTTGCCACATGCTCAAAAACAGCACATTTTAAAGGTACGAATGAGCAAAAGAAAAGCAGAAATGGACTCAAAATTAGGTTAGAGATCAATTTCATTGTGGAAAGGAAATGAGTACTTATCTAGAAGCTTTGTCGAAGCACTATGTAACATTGAATCCGGTGACAGATACGTACACATGTCATTTGAAAACAAAATGGCCACTGACACGCGGGTGGCATTTGCGTACTTTTATCGCTTTTAAAAAAATTATTTGTTTTCGAACGCAAGTGCTACGATCCTAGCATCCCTTTAAGTGTGGACAAAAAATTCCTCGAAATTGTCTCAAAAGTCTCCAGTTACGGAATGAATCATAACGAGGGCTCAGCGTGGAGGCGCGCCCGACCTGGCGGGTCGTATAGAAGGTAAGGGCAAAGGGGGGGGGGTTGTGATCAAAAAGCAAATTTGCTCAGAAAGGCTCAACAACTGCACATAATTGTTCATCAAGATGCCAAGATTTATAGAAAGGCGAACTTGGAAGATTATGCTCAGAAAGTATTTGAGAAAATACTACGATTGAGTAAGGTGAAGAAGAAAAACGCGCAAAGATTTCACAACTCCACTGAAGGAATGACTGTCGTGAACATGCTGATTAACTCGACTAACGAAGTCTCAGGCAAATTGCAAATTTTGTACCTTACACATATCGTAAGGTCACCAAAGAAGCTCTCCATGTAAATTGGGTATGATTCCGTGATCAGCACGCCAAATTACGTCAACAAGCTCTACAAACCACTACTTAATACTTTTTTTAGTGTTTCCTAATGGCTAAAAAGCATGGTTTTCAAACTTGATTAACTTGGTTAAAAAAAAGTAGAAATTAGCCTTATGTACGTATTCATAACGAAGTATCCCTCTTTGTCAGTCTATGGTAGAAATTGGACTTCATATCGCTTTCGAATAATGGATTAAGAAGTGCTGCCAAAATGTCAGTCACCGCGTTTTCTACCTCGAGTGCTTCACATCACCACAAAGCATAAGTTTTCCAAAATTTTTACATAAAAGCTGTTCTACACATAAAATTTAGTATAAAGCAACATTTTGGTTCCGAAACTCCTCCCCTCCTTACTAGAATCCAAGAAAGCAACGACGCCGGTTCATTCGAGGTAGAAAGCGCGCTTCAATCGAACGACCTATGCAGCTGGCGGGATCAAGTAGGAACGTAAAAATCGACAGAGTTAAAGGCTAGTCGTTCCAGCAATGTCCATTTGCCACCCTCGTGCCGTCCCTGTTCCAAGCGATCTGTGCAGAGCCTTGTTTCCATATACGATTTCTTTCTATGGTAATGTGTCAAATAAACTCTGGCCGTTGTCTTTGATGCCTTACTGTCCAATACGGATTTGTACAGCAGAGCAACTATCCTTATGATACACATATTTGTTACCAAGCTTACTTCTCTAAGGGTTGGGCCACGCCCGCGTACGCGGCGCATGTTGAAAGTGCACCGTTAGCGTACGCCGCGTACGCTCTGCATGCTGCCAACTCTCAGAGTAATAGGGAATCCATAAGTGATCCTAAAAACAAATCGAGCACATTGACCATATCGCAGGCAAGCCCCGAGTGTACAGAAAGTTTCGACCCATTTTAGGGAGCTTCCAAACTTCGCCGGTTGCCGCTCAGCCGTTAGCCGCTTTCGCGCTGGTTGCCGCTGTTGCCGCCGAAGCGCAGTAGGTCAAGCCAATGTCTCACTGGCGCGCATGTGGCGCGAAAAC